CCTCGCAGCCGCCAGGCCTTTCCTCCGCCCCACTGACGCATCGTGGCTCGCAGCACAGCCTCTCTGGGCTCAAGGCTCACCAAGCGACTCAAGCGCACAGGAAAGCCTCCCAGCCTTGCAATTCAGAGGACGTTCGCGCCATCAAAAACCCCAAGGCTCTCGGCTGGGCAGCCCCAGGACACTACAACCGTCACTGGCCTGAAGGAACGGACCAGAGAACTGGCCGCTCACCGTCCCTACAGGAGTCGGGGAACCTACAGCAACGGTGGGGTCAGATGTGACCACTGAGGCCGTTAAAACCCACTTCAACTCCAGATCCGGGCCCCCAGCTTCTTCTTTTCTCGTCCCACAGACCCAGGAGTCCCGGTCTCCTTCTCCCTGAGACCGAGAAATCCAGCCCCCAGCCCCTTCTTCCCTCAGACTCAGGAGTCTTGACCTCCGGCCACTCCTCCCTCAGTCTCTGGGTTCCCGACCCCCCAGCCCCCGACTCTCAGACTCCGGGATGCGGGTTCCCTCTCCGTGCGCCGACACTCACCACGGTTGCCATGATGCTCACTAACCGCCAATGTCCTAGCGGAAACGGAAACGCGCTAGGAGCGAGGCGTTCTGGCCCCTCTAGGCTCTCAGGTCGTCCAAGGGTCTCGGTAGTTCTTCATAAATACGCAAACTTTACTCGAAGCGGGGCGAGCATTCACGTTTTCGGCCCCTCCCATCCACCGAGGCCCAGCTGGAGGATGGGTGTCCGGATGGTCTAGGTCAGTCCCCGACGCCTCCAAGCTCCTCCTCTTTTTACTCGGCCCTTGTTGCTGAAGCGACTGCAAAATTCTTGACACTTGTTTGAGCAACCACACGTCCTCCACGCTCCCTTTCCTCCTTACCCTACCCTCCCTCCCTCCTTCCTCCACTTTGGGTCCTCCAGCTTCAGATTGATAGACCTGTGGGCCAATCGCTTCCGTTAAGCCCACTAATAAGCCCCGCCCCCTAGGGTTTACGTAGACCTCTCGGGCCGTGGCGGTATTGAGCCAACCAGACCCTATCCACCAATGAGGAGACGCGGGAACCCCGCCTCCAGATGCGGGCCAATAGTGTGGGCTGAGAGGCGGGCGCCGCCTCCTGGCGGCCGCCAGGTTTCACTGCAGGAGAGCAGCTAGGCTCAGTGACGAAGCGGCCGCAGCGAGCTTAGGTCCTAACGCTGCGGAGCGTGGTGGGGGTGCGGTCGTGCAATAGGAAGCCGAGAGCATTGCAAACTTCCCGTTGGGCAGTAGCGACCCGGTCCCGCGCCCCACCCGGTGCATTTCCCGGACACCTCCGGGGCACCTACCTGTGACCCTCGGAGTCCTCCTTCCGCGCCCACCATGCCTCTAAACCGCAGTTTATCCGTGTCCTCACTGCCAGGACTGGAGGACTGGGAGGATGAGTTCGACCTGGAAAACACGGTGCTCTTCGAGGTGGCCTGGGAAGTGGCCAACAAGGGTGAGCGCCCCGGGCTCCCGGGCCCCGGACGGGAAGGGCAGTCGGGGATGGGGGCCCGGAGTTAGGTGAAGTGACTCTCGGGTCCTGGGCAAGAAGCCTATGACTCCAGTGCCCTTGGGGAGAGACTGGGTATGTCTCCCGGGCCTTGGGAGGAGAGATGGGTCGTCTGACTGTTAAGATGAAGGGAGGCTAGAGGCCTAGGTCCGGGGTCTTAAGAGGAGGGGGCTAAAATGATACATTTCCAGGACCTGAAGACTGGCTTCTGAGAGACCTACACAGGGAAGGGCTGGGGAAAGGGTCTTCTGAGTGCAAAGCGGGGCAGTGTGTGTGCCCCGGGGAAAATGACTAAGTGATTGAACTGGCGATTTGGGGAAGATGCATGAATTTTGGTGGGGAACCAGCCGCTTGAGAATAAAGATGGGAGGGGGTTGGAGACCCAAATTCTTAGGTCCTGGGATAGGAGAGCATTGGGGGCCTAGAATCCTGGGTTCTGAAGGAGCCCGGGGCCTGTGCCCTGGGTTCCTGGGGGTTGAGAAGCCTGTGGCCTTGGACACATGCGTACTGCAACGGTGGGGAGGTAGGGAAGTCCCAAATTGGTCAGGGGCTGGTCCCTAGGATGGGAGTGGCTGAGGGCCTGGATTTCTGTGCCCTGGGCTTCCAAGGCGAGGTTCAGGCCCTGGAGGAGGCTGAGGCCAAAATCCTGGCAGCTCGAGATCTGACTTCTCAGAAGGGATGAGGGGCTGGGGGTTTGCTTTGCTGGATCTTAGGGGAGAGAGGGCCTCCCAGGGGTCTCCCACCATGAGGGCTGATGAACAGTCAGGAGTCGCCAGGGCCTGGAGGTCCGGGAGGTCCCTGGGTCTGGGGTGGAGAAATGAGAGGAGACTGGGAGACAGGTCAGGAGGCTCCCTAGAGGGCAGGGAGGGACGATCAGCCTTCTCTTGGGCAACCGTGGGGAGGGCATCCCAACCCCCTCGCGTCCTGAGCCTGGGTGGAAACTGAGACCTGGTTACCGCACGTGGGGTGCCTGGGGTGGCCTAGCTCCTGGGTATCTCAGCTTCCAATGGCCTCGGGACCCCATGTCTTAATTCTCTAGATTCAGGAGGCCAGGTCTCCAGGTCCTTCCTTGGATCCAAAAGCCCGGAATCCAAGCCCTCTCCTCCCTCAGACCCAGGAGGCCAGCCCCCAGGCTCCTCTCCCTCTGACCCAGGAGGCCAGGCTCCCAGCCCCCTTCCCCTGACTTGCAATCTGGCCTCTCAGCTCTGTTTCCTTCTGTCCCAGGAGTCTGGGACCCCAATGCCCCCCCACCCCCCACCCTGCCCCAGGTCCCACACCTCAGTCAGTTGGGGCCTGTCCTCACGATCTTGGGCCCACAGTGGGTGGCATCTACACGGTGCTGCAGACCAAGGCCAAGGTGACCGGGGATGAGTGGGGTGACAATTACTTCCTGGTGGGGCCGTACACGGAGCAGGGAGTGAGGACCCAGGTGGAACTGCTCGAGGCCCCCACGCCGGCCCTGAAGAGGACTCTGGACTCCATGAACAGCAAGGGCTGCAAGGTGAGACACCGTCTGGTGAGGCGGGCTTGTGGCCAGACCCCGATCAGGGTGGGTGCCGCAGATGGAGAAGGGACTAGGCGTAGAAAGCCCCAGCAAGGGAGGGAGGGACAGACGGACACACAGGATAACACAGCACTTTCCCAGGGGGGAAGGTTGACAGTCACTCAGATGCAGGAGCCCAGGAGTGAGTGGAGGGATCCCAGAACCTAAGACATGGGTGGATGGGCAGAGGAATTATGGGTACAAAGGAGACTGAGAGATGAATCCAAGAGGCAGAGATGTCAGGCCCAGAGAAACAGCTAGATGGACAGCCAGGCAGAGCTCAGGTCAGACAGGTGTCCGGGAGCCCAGGTTCTGAAGCCTGAAGTTCAAAGTCAGCTTCTCTACTTCCTGGCTGTGTGAACCTGCGTAACGGACATGCTAGTTGTATTCATTTTACAGAGTTGTACGAACCCTCATGGTGCAGTGGTTAAAGCATTTGGCTGCTAACCAAAAGGTCGGCGGTTCAAACCCATCAGCTGCTCCATGGGCAACAGTCAAGGCAGTCTACTTCTGTAAAGATTGACAGCCTTGGAGACCCTATGGTGCAGTTCCACTCTGTCCTCTAGGGGCGCTGTGAGTCAGACTCCACTCCACACAGTGGGTTTGGTTTGGGCTTTGCTTCTGTGAAGATTGACAGCCTTGGAGACCCTGTGGGGCAGTTCCACTTTGTCCTCTAGGGGCGCTGTGGGTCAGAATGGACTTCACAGCAGTGGGTTTGGTTTGGGCTTTGCTTCTGTGAAGATTGACAGCCTTGGAAACCCTATGGTGCAGTTCCACTCTGTCCTCTAGGGGCGCTGTGAGTCAGACTCCACTCCACACAGTGGGTTTGGTTTGGGCTTTGCTTCTGTGAAGATTGACAGCCTTGGAAACCCTGTGGGGCAGTTCCACTCTGTCCTCTAGGGGCGCTGTGGGTCAGAATGGACTTCACAGCAGTGGGTTTGGTTTGGGCTTTGCTTCTGTGAAGATTGACAGCCTTGGAAACCCTATGGGGCAGTTCCACTCTGTCCTCTAGGGGCGCGTTGCGTTGGAATGGACTCGGTGTCAGTGGGTGTGGGTAGAGGGTTGCTGGGGGGGGAAATAGTTAATGACTATAAAAAAGGGGCTCTGGTGGCACAATGCCTAAGGCATTTGACTACTAGCCAGAAGGTGGGTGGTTCAAACCCACCAGCCACTCTGCAGAAGGAAGATGGGGCAATCTACAATAAAGATTTACTGCCTTGGAAACCCAATAGGGGTCGCTATGAGTTGGAGTCGGTTCGATGGCAGTGGGTTTGGTTTGGTTTTATAAAGTAACAGAGTTCCTGGCACCAAGTGAGAGGTGACATTAGCTATCATCATAACTGTTATTGTCATCAGCACCAACTATTACTGTAAATAGCCACGCTTAGAGGTTCAGAAGGAGCTCTGGTGGCATAGTGCCTAAGGCATTTGACTGCTAACCAGAAGGCTGGTGGTTCAAACCCATCAGCCACTCCTCGGAAAGAAGGTTGGGCAATCTTCTTCTGTAGTGATACTGCCTCGGAAACCCAAGGAGGGGTCGCTATGAGTTGGATCCAACTTGACGGCACATAACAACAACAGAGGTTCAGATGGACAGGTAGAGGAGAAAGAAGGATGGACAGACAGAATGTCCCAAAAGGGGAGGGTGGCCCCAGGAGCTCGAGGGGTAGGTAAATAGATGTTTTCAAAGAGAAGGTCCGCTCTAGGCGGGAGGAGAGCTAGGCAGACAGACCTGGGTGAGCGAGTATGGGACAGACAGAAAGGTCATCCGGGGATTAAAGAGAGGAGGTAGAGGCCCCAAACCTGATGGCCACTGAAGGGTGAGCGCCGAAAGGAAGTGCCAGTAGCGGGCCTGAGACGGGAGAGTGAAAGCACAGGCCAGAATTGAGGTCGGGGAGGGACAGATACAGCAATTCATTCATTCATGGCCTCTGCTCTGGGGCAGGGTCTGGAGTCCAGTCAGACTGGACAGTGTCCCTAGGGGACCCTAGGGCAGCTGAGTCCAGTCCCTCCCCCAGGGCAGCTGCTCCCCACGTGCTGGGGGCCTAAGAATAGCCCCCCCCCACAGCAAAAGGGCAGACAACAGCTGGAAGGGGGAGGGGCCTCGGGATCAGGGTCCCCAGGCAGAGAAAAACCACAGGTGGAAGACTGGGACTGCTTGGCGGCAGGCAGGGAGTGTGGCAGCAGGCCCGGGATTGGGTCTCAGGAGGAAAACAGTAGGCGGGAGACGTGTGGCAGGGGCAGAAATGAGACAGCAAGATTTAGAAACGTGGCAGCGGGTAGGAAGATGCAGGCCTGGGATGCGGAAACAAGGCAGGTGGTGTTCGAAGCCGGGCTGCACGGGCCCATGGGCGGAGAAAGAAGGGAGCGAGTGTCAGACACAGCAAGAGGGGCAGAGATAAGGCTGTGGGGTGGAGGAAATATGGCGGTGAGAACAGGAAGGCGGAAGCAGTGTCCAGGAGAACAGACGATGGGAGAAAACAGCAGAGCCGTAGGTAAGGGAAACGTGCCAGCAGGCCCAGAAACAAGGCAGCAGGTGGGAGAAATTATTACAGACCCGTGGCATCGAGTCGATGTGCACCCGTGACCACCCCACATATGTCAGATAGAACAGGGCCCCGTAGGATTTTCATTGGCTGATTTTTCAGAAGTAGGTCGCCAGACTTTTCTTTCGAGGTGCCTTTGGATGGACTTGAACCGCCAACCTTCTGATTCGCTGCCGAGCGTGCTGTTTACACCAGCCAAGGGCTCCAGGAGAGACTCTTAGCATGGTGCGAGAACAAGGCAGTGAAGGGACAGAAACAGGGCTCAGGAAAGAGGTGGCTGTAAGTTGAGGAAGAAGGTCGCAGGCGGGAGACGGGTGGCAGTTAGGAACAGAAAACGAGGGGAAAAACACTGCAACCAAGATGGAAGGCGACTCTGGTGGGAAAAACTAGCAGCACATAGAGAAATATGGCAGCGAATAAAACAGACCCAGATACAGAAAGAGGGGGTGAGAGAACGGAGGCAGGAAGGCCAGACATCAGCCTGCGGACGTAAGAGGCACAGATGCTGGTCCCAGACACCGGTGGCCGAAGCCCCGAATCTCTCTGTGGATCTCTCCAGGTGTATTTTGGCCGCTGGTTGATTGAGGGGAGCCCCCTGGTGGTGCTCCTGGACGTGGGGGCCTCCGCCTGGGCCCTGGAGCGCTGGAAAGGGGAACTCTGGGACACCTGCAACATCGGGGTGCCCTGGTACGACCGTGAAGCCAACGACGCCGTCCTCTTTGGCTTCCTTACCACCTGGTTCCTGGGTGAGGTAGGCTCCACTGTCAACCCCTATCTTGCTCCTTTTCAGCCCCAGCCCAGAGAGAAAACTCCCATCAGCCGCTGGGCCAGAGGGTGGCTGGGTGGGTTGTTTTTTTTTTTTTTTCCCCAAGAGCATTCTGGGAGTTGTAGTTCTTTTGATCCTAGAATTAGCTTTGACCTCTAGGGACATGGCCATCCAAAGGCCCAATCTCTTCTCAGAGGCTGAAATCCCAACCCCAGCTTCCTTCTTGGAATTTTATGGGTTCTGAGCTATTAGCATTTAGCATTTACACCTCAACGTAAAGAAAACAAAACTCCCTAGAACTTCACCAATAAGCGACATCATGAAAAATGGAGAAAAGACTGAAGTTGTCAAGGATTTCATTTTACGTGTATCCACAACCAAGCCCCACGGAAGCAGCAGTCAGGATATCAAATGACATATTGACGTGGACAAATCTGCTGCAAAAGACCTCCTTAAAGCGTGAAAAATCAATGACTGAGGAAGACCGAAGGACAAATGTGTTTGAATCACGATGTTGGTGAAGAGTATCAAATATCTCACAGACGCCAGAAGAATGAATAAATGTGTCTTGGAAACAGTACAGCCAGAATGTTCCTTAGAAGGGATGCTGGCGAGATTTTGTCCGACTTAACCTTGGACATGTTATCAGGAGGGACCAGACCCTGGAGAAGGGCATCGTGCTTGGTAAACTGAGGGTCAGTGATAAAGAGAAAGACCCTCAACAACATGGACTGACATGGTGGCTGCAGCCATGAGCTGAAGCATAGCAACAACTGTGAGGAAGGGTGCAGGACCCCTCAGTGTTTCCTTCTGTTCTTCATACGGTCGGGGTGGGTCCCAACCCGTTTGACGGCATCCACCAATAGCTCTTAGGGAGGACTTCCTGCAGGGAATTCTGGGGCTTGTAGTTCTCTCCTTTGCTATTGGCGGAACATTAAAGTCTCAGATGAGACTTTGACGTGCTTGGAGACACCTCCCCCCCAGCCTGAGACCCATATGTTGGTGTTCTCACTGCCTCCTACGTTTTAATAGGCTCAAAAACTTCATTTCCATGCCCTGGGACAGTTAATGGGAGCTCTG